ATACAAAAGGTCTATAGATAGTAAACCTCAATAATCTACGCGTCTATATCGTCTAGAAGGTCGTCGCGGTGTGAAAAATCAATACTAGAGCCCTTTCTTATACAAGTAAGGACCCTAGGCTTAATAGAGAAAAACTAGGTTTTCTAAGATATAGGTATAACGGTATAGAAGGCAGGGTGGTTCCGAATAAACCACCCTTCCGGTTTCAAGACGGAGGCTAGTTCCTGAATAAGGACTATATTAGCTAAGGCTTTTAAAGCCTATTCTAGGATAGTCTTTTACGCCGGGGCCTGTTTATCGACGTTATACTGAATAAACCGGATATCTTTCGAACTAAAAGGCCCTTTATTTATAGAATTTAGGGTTGTATAGCTTAAAACACCTCGTAGTCTCTGCTAAAGGGGGGTTGCTCTCCCTTATAGTTATAGCACTTATAGGTCTTATACTCGTAGTCTCCGTATTCTTTATACTCGTTATAGTAGTAGTATTCTTCGCCGTGGCCTTCGATAGCGTAGATAGGGTAGGTAGCTAGGACCTTATAGGTCCCTCGTGTATATCCGAATTTCCAGTAGTTAGAATACTAGGCTCTAGGGGTTATAGGCCTATATTTATAGACCTTTAGCCGCTGGCCGGCTATATAGAGCCCGTGTTTTAGCCAGTACTTCTATTCTTCCGTGGAGCATATAGAAATAACTATAATACCGTAAAACGTGTTTAGGGCCCCTAGCCACCGAGGCTTCCCTACTACCTTAATAGGGTTAAAGGTGCTGATTTCGGTGGCTAGGTCCCATAGACCTAGGCCCTATTATAGGCTTCGGTTTAGAGCCTCTTACGGCGGCTCGGAAGAGTCGGATAGAGGGGTATCGCTACCCCTAGTCCTAAAGGCTCTAGAAGGCACCTGTTTAATAATAAGCTTAAACTAGTCACCTATAGGCTAGGGGGACTAGAGAGGGAGGTTTAGCTCTTTAAACCACTGGTTCTACGAGTCTAGGAGCTATTAAACGCTGTATTTCGGCCCTGGGGTTAAAACCAGGTTCCCGTTAGTTAATAGGGCAACAGCCGTAACTACAGGGGTTTTTAAGGCCTTATTAAGCCTGTTTCGCAGCTCGAGGGGGTTAAAGTCTTCCCTAGGGATCCGGGCCCCTACCGTAGGTTAAGGAATAACCTTAGGGACCTTTTTAGGGTCGGTTAGGAGGGGTGCCGGGGGTAGAGGCGGGGGTGGGGGCTAAGGGTGCTAAAGCCCCTAAAATAGGGGCCTGAGTTGCCGTGGGGCCTTTTTTCCCCTTAACAGCCTCGCTATAGAGGGGCTCAGGCTATTCTATAAGCCTATGAACTGCTTAAGCTAGTTCGTCCACTTTCTATTCGAGTATAAGAGGCTAGGGGCTCGGGGTTCCGTTAATAGTAGATTTAAGCCCTTCGGTTAGGGCTTTAGTCTAAGGGGCAGGGTCGAGGGTATAGGCGTGTTAAAGTACCTAAAGGGCCTCTTAGAGTAGGTCCTTAGCCTATACCTTACTAGCTGAACTAGTCGACTTCTAGGGCGTAGCCAAGGATTCTCCTAAGGCTCTAGCTATTCCGTGTGCTTTTTTAGCCTATATAGAGCCTAAAAGGCTCGGTTTTTTAGTAGAGGAGGGCCTAGAAGCAGGGGGGCCCATAAAGGGCGTTTCGAAAACGCCCTCGGCCTCCGAGTTAGAGAGGGATTCGATTCGGGTTCTAGAAAATCGTCTAGGTATAGGTGTAAAAGGACTAAGGTGCCTTTTCGAATTTAGATGCGTAGCGAGGGTTAAATCCTCTATATTAGAGGTATTACCTATATCCACCTCCCCTAGGCCCTCTATAATTATAGGGGCCTTAGGGGGGGGGGGGGGGGGCGTTAGGGCTTTTAGGGGCATTGGGGGCGTTATTATGGCTAGCGTTGTGGCTAGTGGGTTATTGTTTATGGTGTTGTGGTTGGGTGGAGATCGAGGGTGCGGCTCTGCGCGGCTAAGCATGCTGCTTTGTTAGCGTAGGCGCACGGGCCATGTCAGACTTTTCCCCTGCACGCGGGGGAGCCGTAGGTCTATTTCCAGGCATTTTCGCACTTAGAATACGCCTAAATTGGCGCCTACGCAATATAGGGCTATAGATAGGCGTATAGAGCTGGAAAAGAGCTATCGATTAATATAGGTTTTAAGTAGTCTAGGGCGTTTGCGCGTAAAATATAAGTCCCCCTATATAAGTTGCTTAGAGGCGTTATAACGCTAGTAGGCAGTAATAGTTATCCTTTTATTCGAATACCTTTATTAGCGTTATCTCGCCGATAAGACGTAACTTATAAAGCCCCTCCTGGTAATAGAAATACTATAAATCGCGGAATAGGTATTCTCGCCGTATAAATGCCTTAAAGTTATTATACACGCGATAAAAGCTTCCGGTTATAGCTCCGCCACGATATCTAGTGACAATGTTCTAGCTTAGTTAAAGCCTATTTAATTAGCTAGAGTACCGGGGCCTTTACCCTAAAACGGTTTCCGGCTTTAACCGCGGATGCCTAGTTATTAATCTTAGTGATAATCGTATTCTCTCCTAGAGTCTTATAGTTATAAACTGGTAGCTTCTTATAGTCCCGCTATATCGCCGGATATTCGATAAGCTATGATAGGATAGCCTTACTCTATCTTTATATCTATTAGTTAAACTCTTACTATTATCATATCTAACGCGCTAGGAGGGCGAATAGCTTCGTAGTGGTTATCGGCGACAATTCCCTTACACGGTCCGATAATATAGAGCTTGCCGACTATTTGGCGCTCCTCGCCCGCTTAATATTAAGCCTCCGTGGATAACTATCCACGGATAACGTCCGCGTCTACACTAAACTCGGGGGCGATAATAAGGCCGTATCGTTATTAGTATTATCCTATTAGCCCTAATACTTTTCTTCCGTGCCTTGAATAGGCTCTTCCTATTATATGCCCGTATCCGCCCGCTCGGTATCGGCAGTACTTCGTAAAGTCTGTTTTAGTAGTATCTTCGGCCCGGTAACCTTATAGGTATAGAAGTTAAAGAGTTTATTAAAGAATAGGCAATAATACTAGAGAAAAGATATACCGTAACAGATACTACTATTATAACTTAATAGTCGTATATTATAAAGACTTTAACTTAAGGAGAAAAAGGAAGACCTTTCCCCCTTTACGCTACTATAGTAATTTAGTCTTGCCGAGTACTCCGCGATCCGAGTATATCTCCGATCCTATATAGTGCTAATGTATAGTGCCACTTAATTTCTTATAGGTTCGTGGGTAGCCCTACGGTAGCGCGGGGCTAACCGGGTAATATAGTAATAATAATAATAATAGGAAGACTAATAATAATAGTATGATATAAGGGTCTTAGTAATATAGTAATACCTCAGTAATAGCGTACTAATCTCATTATAGATAGCGTTTACTAATAGTAATAACCATAATTATAAATAAGGTATAGTCCGTATTATACTATACATAGACTATAGTAGTATCGAGGCTATATCGTGGGGGCTAATATAAGGTAGTTATTTATATTATAGTAAGCGCCTAGGTATATACCTGAATAAGGTCCAGGTATATACTAATACTACTAGCACTAACGCCGCCTATTTTCAGTATACTACTAGCCGATATCCCTCTAAGAATATAAGTTATTTCTATATTATAGAGGTATTACTAACGTGTTAGAATAGTTAGGTCTAATAAGTCAATAAGTCCCTCTCGCTACTAAAAAGCAGTAATAACGCCTTATAGATATCTATATAGCCTCTATATCGGTAAACGCTACTAGTAATAATAGTATCACTACGGTAAGTAGTCCCCTTTCGGTGTCGTAGTAATGACTTACTAATAGTCTATAGGCTAAGAAGCGTCTAAAGACGGCCGCCTTATCCCTTAGACGGGCCGTCTCTTAGGCGCTACCTTGTAGTCGCCGCCATGGCGGCATATTATCCGTAGAGGTGTAGGATCTAATACGCCGAGTTCGGCGTATAGAGAGTATAATAGGCGTTCTGTTAGATTATTTTATAAGTGGCCCCGCTAACGTTCCCTTCCACCTCCTCTACTATAGCATAACTAGCTAAGTCTTTTAGGATCTTAACTATATTAATAGCGGGGTTAATGCCTCTAAGGGGGGTAAAGATAATAAGGAGGAGGAGTAATCGGTGCTATCTTAATATCGCCGGGGTCCTCGCTTACAGGGCCCCTATTTAATAAGAAGTCAGGCCATTACATCGCTTTACCCTGTTACGGCGCCGTCCAGCTTTTGCAGGCTTCCGTGACTTTAAGGGCGAGGCGGAAGGTATTAAGCCTTTTCCATTATAGGAACCACTTAGCTATAGCCCTAGCTTTAGTATCGTGTTCTAGTATAGCGTATAAATCTCTCTTAGTTAAAAGCAGTCTGCCTACGGCACCGAAAAGGTCCTTACGCTCCTTAGTAGTTATATCTTAGTACTAAAGTATTATATACCCCGCTATTTCTGCCCCTCTATTACTATAAGGGCACCGCGTTACTAGAAACCCCGGTACCCTCGCCTTAGATAGGAAACCTCGTAGGTCTAGTTTTTCGAATCGGATCTACGTAAGTACGGAGCTTTATACCTTAAAGAGTCGTCTATATTCCCGGAGAGAGCGTTATATTAGAGGGCGGCTTAGTACTATTACGGCGTAGGTATAGAGCCGCCCGGCTTCCGTCTAGGTTTTACCCTATTCCTTTATAAGGGCCTTTCCCGGGGGCGTAATCCCTGCCTAGGTTATTAAGGCGGTAAGCTAGGTAGTCTATATAAGGGCGGTATAAGTCTTATAGTATAGATTTAGTACTACTAGGGCTCTGGCCGTAGTATATACCCCGGCTAATATTTTATTCTTAATACCCGTTTCCTATACCCGGAGGACCTTTTAGGCACTAAGGCGTAAAAGATATAGGTTAAGAGGAGGAAATAAAGGTCTTGTTTTCGAGGATTCTAACTAGTATAGCCTTATAAGCTGCTACTAGGGGGGATAGTATAGGTAGTAGATGCGCCTGGTGGCCACGCAAGGCCGTGGGTTCGAATCCTACTCCCTTTAATCGTGCACGACCTACCTGGAGCTTCTGCACGTCACAGAGGTCCCGGATATTCGGGGGGATATTTATCAGCTTCAGCGCTAATAAATGGAACTACACTGCCTCCGGGACATACCCTACCTTTCGGGGGGGAGGGAAAGATACGTATCTACCACGCGTAATTAAGTGTATACTACTACTACTACTACGATCGGGCTATATATGCTAGGGTACTTTGTGGAGCGCGTAACCTAATAAGATAATTCCCGGTATAATATAACTAGACCGCTATAGCGTCTCTATATAGTCCTCTCTCTTCTCCTCTTCTTAACGGGGAGAGCCGGAATCTTCCTCGAGTATAGAATATCGATCCGATCGTCGTGATTAGACTAATACGCTACGCTAAATAGATCCGCCTCCGAGCACTATATTATAACTGCGCAGGGACGTTCTAGCTCGAATAGGATTATTAGGATAATATTTGTGATGGCTTGATAATAGGGAAAATCTAGAATACAGGAAGATCCGATAAAACAGTCCTGATATAATCCGGTTCGGTTATATGCATCCATTTGACCTGATTGACCGGTTCGAACCCAAAGAGCCTGACTGACGGATTAGTCAGAAAACGTACGACCGACCTAATTAGTCATACTAACACCAAAAACGCATCTGCGCAGTTCTAGTATACTATAAGACTCCCCGATCTCCCTTATCCTCTTTATCCTTTATATCTCTACCCTTTACGAGGAACTAGAAAGGATACTAAAAATAACGGTAATAGATTTTACTAATAACACGAATATTATCGCCTTTAGCAGAATAAAGGCATAGATAAGATACCGCCTTACAAGTATATAGCGTATTTATCTAGACTAGGAGATCGCGAGCGGGCTATAGTTTAAACTAGCTAAGTAGACCTATATCCCCTTTACGAAGTCCCGCTAACCCTTATCTAACCCGCTCCTCCTTAGCACTGTTTCATTTTTAGTAGCGTAGGCGATACGACTCCTAGGCGTTTAGCTAGATAGGAAACTCGATTTTAGACAATACGTTCAGGAGGTAAAGAGCCGCCTCGCTACTTAAACCACGCCCTTTTAAGGCTAAGTATAATAGTGTAAGGGTATAGCTTCGTAGATATAAGGAGATTATACCTTATATTAATAAGACTAGTTATAGCCTATTACGCCTTTGCCGTTTATAAGATAAGGGCCGGCCCTTAGCACGGCCCCGTAGCAGTACTTATAACGGTATAGAACTAGTGTCTCCGGCTAGTAGTATGTCTTTTTTTTAATACGTGTATACAGCCCTAAAGCTACAGCGCGAGTCTATTAAGGAGACTAACTCTATAACGAGTTAACTAGTCTATTTATATAAACCTGTTAATAGTAAAGTGCAATCCTTATACACCGACTTGAAGATTAAGATTACTAGGGGAGATTTTGCCCTAACGAATAGGACAAAGAGAGGAGGGATCAGAGATACGACATAGATTCGGCCAGGAATTCATTTAGTTATGGCGTTATGTGTCTAAATAATGCGAAGATATACGATATGAATTCGACTAGCTATTCGTCTAGTCAGGGTAACGCGAGTCTAAAAAAAGCGACCGATTTTAGATACGATTCGACTAACAATGCCTTTATTCAGGGCGTTATATACCTAAAACCCGCGATACTATCTTTATTATTTGGATTTTATGGCTTCGTCTTCTACCTCGGGCTAGGACTCTAGGTCCTCGCCCTCCTCTTTACGATATAACTCTACGTCTTTACTCTCTCCCTCTCTCTCGCCCTAGGACTTTAGTCTCCTCCAGAGTCTCTTCGTTAAGGGCTTTAATAGTGGTTCTGATATACCCTGTCCAGGCATATCTCTGGCCAGCCAGTACTATCGGACCTAGGGCTTCTAGGGTTCGGAATAGCGAATTTTGGGTATAGAAAATAGGGTGTAATAAAGATATCTTCTCTAAGCTAAGGGGCCACGCCCCCGGGACTTAAGTATCCTACGAGTGAACCCGGTGGAATCCTCGGCTCTTATATACAGGAACCCGAGTATAACCCAGGGAAGCTGTAGTATACACTAAAGGTACTTATAGTGTGCCCCGTGCGTGCTATGGCTTATGCTATAGTACGCCCGTAGTACGCCCGTGGTACGCCCTGGCGTTCCCGGTGGAATCTGGGGCGTATTAGGTTCTGTTAGCTACTTTAGCTTGAAAAGAATAGTCCCTCGCGTATAGACTACCCTAGTCAGGGTAATAAGTTAGTTCCTATTCCTCCCTCTCCTTCCTTTCCTTCTTTTACTCCTCTTTCTTCTCCACCGCCCTCTTTTACCTCTTCCCCTTCTACGCCTCCTCCTATAACTTCGACTCCTCCGCCTTTTTATACGCCTGCTTATACGACTGCCGACCTAACGCCTCCGTATACGCCGCCGCTCGCTTCCACGACCTCCGAAGAGAATAGTCCCTCGCGTATAGCTTACGCTAATCAGAGTAACGTGGGTGTCGAGAAGAGTCACTCGCGCGTTATTCCTCCTCCTTGTCCTATTCTTTCTTTAAGTCCTGTTTTAACTATGGCCTCGACTCCTCCTGTTCCGACTCCTATTATGACTCCTATTCCGACTCCTATTCCGACTGTTCCAACTCTCCCAAAGCCTGCCCCTATTACCGTTATCGTGAAGGAAAACCCGCGAGCTCCTCTATAGCCTTACTCCCGACACCCCCCCCGATTCGACGATATATATATCTACCGGTTCCTCGAGAAGTACGTCGACTACGCCACGATACACCGCTTCGAGGAAGAGAAGCTTCGATACCTGCCTCTATATACGGATAGTAGTATACGACCCGTCGTGGAATAGCTCGTAGATTTAGCCGGTGCCGGTTCCTAGGAAGACCTCGTGGAAAGACTGAAATCGCAATATCGTTATCTTAATTCGGAATACGAATAAGAGTACTTTGCTACGAAGGTCCGGGGTCTATCGACTAAAGCCGTAAGCTGCTATAACGTAGCGCCGCGCCTAAAAATGTATTTAAAGTCGTCCGCCGTGATACTACTTACTATATAGCTATCTGCTGCGTTAATACCTACGAAGAATATAATAAATATATCCGTACCGCGCTAACGATTCTAAAGAAGTTATAGGAGTGGTTATTAAGATAGCAGGAGCTATTAAAGTACCTAGAAGAGGTTAAATTAATACTCGTAACGTATATCTAGGTAGCAGACCGCTTTAGAGGGATACGTATAATAACTAGGCGCGACTAGACTAAGGCTAAGAGACGCTTTTTGGATAAGAAAGTAGGTCTCCCTAAGGACCTTTATACCCTTAGTTAACGAGATATCGAGACTAGACTTAAAGACTAAGGAAAACGTAGTAGCTATTATACTATAGTATTCCCTATACTATATATTAGAAACGATAAGGGCGACGAAAACTTAGATACCACGGCTAAGCCCGGGAAGGAGGGTGGCCATAGGAAGAATAAAGCTAAGAAGTCCGCTACCTCTTCCTCTAATACTTTAGCTAACCGCTCCTCTTCTAAACATCGATACTTTCCCTTCGGAAAAAAGAGCCCTATTCGTGTATACGTTACGCTTTAGTATAATATTAACGCCTATTACGATATATTTCCAGAAGTAACGTTTACCGGTTAAACCCCTAATAAAAACACTAAATTCATAGTCTAATAGATCCTTAAATACGACCCCGTGATACGCGCGGAAATAGAAGAAGTACGTGTCGTAAAGGTGAAGAAGGATATAATTTAGGACTCCGTATAGCTTAAGGAGGCGTGACTTACCCGTAGTAGTATCCCTTACGCCGCTAGCTTTATAGTAGGAGCCGCTACTACTAGTTACCCTTTTCGAGCCTTTACTATTCTTAATTCCGGCGCTATAATACATATTTTTAACGATTTTTCCTGTTTTTCTGATTTTAGCCTAGTTATACAGGGAGACGATATAGTTATAGGCAGTTTATCACTACCTATTAAAGGTTATAGTAATATAACTATAAGATTAAACGGACAAATAGGAGGCCTTTATTTTAGATTAGTAAACGTCGTATACTACGAAGACTTTACCTGTAATTCAATTTTAAACTAATAGTTACGACTACGGGGCTATTAGTAGGATTAAAAGCCACTAAATAACTACCTCCGCTATACCGACGGATCTTTAATATACTAGCTAAGTTACTACTTCGATTAAACCGTTATTAAGTATATGCCCTGCGATTCTAACCTATCTACAGCTGCTTTTCTAGGCTCTTCCCGTTAAAAAGACGTCTATAAACCGATAATACGATATCCTAGTATAGCATAAGGTATCTTATAGTATCTACGGCTAGGGCATACTAGCCCTAAGCCGCTTAGACACCTAGAAGAATAGACGTAGGGGGTTAAGATTAAGCGACTAATAACTATTAACTATATAGCCTATAAGCTTATAAAAATAAAACAGTATATTAGTAGGCACCCTTATATAGTATTAACCTACGTAGGCGAATATTAGGCGGTTAACTTTATAGAGTTTCAATGGATATCCGATAGACATTCCCGGTTTATATTCTTCACTAACCGTTATAGTGGCTTTACGGCTACCTACGTTACTATCACGGCTTATCACAAGTTGTTCACGTATTAAGGCTGAAAATATAGTTTATTCGAACTAAGGAAGCAAAGGAGAAAAGGAAAAGTCTACGCGGTATATAGACGGCTAAGTATATATAAGATCGAAGGTCCGTGCTTTTTAGTCCCGGCCACTACCGGGGACTATTCCGCGGGCTATAGCCCTTAATATACCCCCCCTCCTCCCCGCCGGAGGCGAGGTCGCGGTCGTGTTATAGTCGCCCGGTCATAACCTCGTATTACCCTAGCCTCCCCGCGTATAATCTGAAAATAGCCTCCTTTATTCGATTCTATTAAAGGCTCCCTTAAAGGGAGGCAATCCGTAGCAGCTAAGATCCTTTCAAGGCTAAAATAGTATAAAGAAGCTTTTATATAGCGGTGCTATCGTAAGCTCCT